CAAGTGAATGAATGACCAGCCATCTATGCCGCACACTAGTGAGAGCACAAATATGGTATAATGCAAGGAAACACCGTGGCAAAGAGGAGGAAGTAGCAAATGTGAAGTACAAGCGGTGTTGGTTAATTCACGAAAGGGTTAATGCTCTCACCATTGTCTACTCTTCAAATACTCTCTTCGTTTCTTTTTACTCTGCATATAAGTTTTCTCTCAAGTCAAACTTCAGGACAACTGACCAAAATTATAGGAAAAACTATCAACATTAATCATATCAAATAAATGTCATAAAATTATCTTTTATATTGTATATCTTTAATATTATAGATGTTGATATTGTTAAGTATAACTTTGGTCAAACTTTATGAAGTTTGTATTCCTACAAATAAGCTTTGCTAGGCGAAGGGGGAGAATATCATATGAAAACCAACATTCAATGAAAACTTTGTGGAAACCATATTTTAGAATTCCAAAAAAATTTGAAAAAAATACGGGATGTTCAGAGGATGATGTTTTATTGCCGCGCAAAAATTCAAGTTGAAATACATTGCGAGATATGAGCTATAAAAAAGACAATTTCAGCCCTTGATAGTGAGATTACTGTTCGGCACTATTCAACACTGATTTTGTCTTTTTTATAGCTCATATCTCGTAATGTCTATCAATTTGATTTTTTGTGTGGCAATAAAACATCATCCTCTTAACATCCCGTATTTTTAAAAAAAACTTTAAAACATCTTCATCTCGTGGTTTTCACCGGTTTTCATCGAATATTGGTTTCCGTATAATACTCTCCCAGGCGAAGGAAGAGAACCTCAACAACTATCCATTTGCCCGAGGAATTTGAGCACACAAGGAATCAGATAATTCCAACAAACGCCACACTTGCTTAGGAAGCATTGCCAAGTTAAAAGAGTGAAGATCTCGAAACCTTCCGCCATAAAAAAAAAGATCTCAAAACCTCATACCAGATTTATTGTTGGGAAAGCACAATTTTCACCACGCTCACCAATGCATTTTCTTGCCGTGCCCGTCATCTCTCACTATAAGTTGTGACGTTAGATATAGCTCTGCAGACCTCTTTCAGCCAAAAAGAAGAGAAAAAAAAATGAAACATGGGCAAAAGGTTTTTCCGCATTTCATTAATTAAGAAGAAGCTTTAAAAGTTAGAACACATGCCCGAGGGCGCCAAAATGGCCTTAAAAGAACTACTCTCGCGACATGCGTGCGTTGAAATGTTTCGCACTGGCGATGGCCCAGCGAGCAGCCTCTCGGCGGATTTTGGCGAGGATAGCCATCGGCGAAGCGTACACATTCTGGAGCACCCATGCCTTCCTCTCGTTTCAGATTTCCCATGACGTGAGTATCAAGAGGGACGCCAATGCTTTCCACGGGTGTCCATGGATGTGAATGGCGTCATTCTGATTTATTCAGCAATCTTTTTTTAGCAACATTTATTCAGCAATCAAAACAGAAGAAATGGTCTGGGCCTTATGGCCGAATAGGCTAAATACAATTTTAGGCCCATCAGATGGACTGGCCCCATGCGCAACTTCCTTCCTTGTCTCCGAACAGGCCCATCAGAACGCGCAAGAAGCATTTTAACAAGTCTTCTACTTCCTCTCGCCCAATCTCCTCACCTGCCCCCGAGAAGAGAGAGAGAGAAAAGCAGCGAGACGCGAATCAGCGGCGGCGATGGCTCTCCCGGCGTCCGGCTCCACCCTCTCCCGCTTCCTCTCCTCCCGCCGCATCCAGCCCACGGACATCACCGCCCTCGCCACCTGGGGCGTCTTCGCCGGCAGCGCCGCCATCTACCTCGTCCAGGTCCGTGTTAAAACTGTCAATTCACGATTACGCGTTTGATCGTATCCACCGCCCAGTACCCCGCTACTTTTGAACCTGGCTTCCTCTTGCACCCGTCGCTCGATCCGTAGATAGTCTGTCCTATGGGTGTTAGGGTTTGGTTTCTCTAGATCCGATCTTGCCATGCCTGCTTGCCTAGATCTGCGGCGTGATGGATCAGAAAGCAGGCTCGGCGATCCG